CCTTACAAGCGAGGCACTTTGAGGCTATGAGTGGATTCATGTCATACAGCTAGGGGTTACCCCTGAACATGGACAACAACCAACAATCACTCCTACAGCAAGCTCTGCTTAAAAAGGTTGACAATTAAAAAAAAATCTTCCGACATATTCCTTGGCATTAAATCGCCCTTATACATGTTGAGGCCTTCAGCTCATGATCGGAGAGGTAAAGTGGTCATTTCAGCCATGCTGAACAGTTCAACCAAAAGTTAAAGTTTCTCTTTTTTGACAGTGTTCGACAAAGTCAGCTGTGAAAGAAAAATGAGACTGATACATGCTTGCATACATGGCATACAAATGATACAAGTATAGTAATAAGTATAATGTAATGTCTTTAATAAATCCATAAACAGAAGATATTTATAATTTACATCAGTAATTAATTAAAGAAACTCGTTCTTAAAGGAATGGAGCCAAGTGGTCACTCAAAATCTATAATCTAGATAGTACCCAGGGGCAATGAAAATAAATTCCTAGTCATCAGAAAGCAAACTTAAAAATAACTTGCACATGTAAAAAAAAAAAATGATACATTGAATTTTAATTCTTTTCATGATCTGTAGCAGTATTTAAAACTTTTCTTGAAACTAATAAAAACTAATTTATCTTGACAATTCATTCCAAATTCAGACAGGTTTACAATTTAGAAATAAAATAAATTGTCTTCAATTTTACATAATTTGAATATGTACTTGACAGGATTGAATGTTTTACTTCACACTAAGCAGAATCCATCTTTCAACATAATCGAGTTGAAATTAAGTCCATTGGTACGACCATAAGTGGGAGAACTCTTCACCAAAGTATCGATGAATGTCTTAGGCTGGATAGCACAGGAAGGAGGAACTCACAGTAGGTATCCAGGAACAGCTCTATGATTTACAACACAGCGGTTAACAGTTTGTTCCTGTGGGACTTTGGGTTGGTAACGATAGCAGCGGTCAGGGAAAGCAGTTTAAGAAATCAGTTCTGAAACTAGTCGTCAAACTTCATCTTCTTACCCTCATAGGATTGGATGCCATCCCTTTTACGACCTATGAACAGAATTAAAAAATACAACTTCAATATCCAAGTGTGTTTGCAATTTCCACTTCCATTTAGGACCATGTGCACGAAGGCCCCCCACGGGTTTGCATCTGCTAGCATTGGTGGTACAGTAAAATCTCCAAATTAAAAGCAGCTGCTTCTATTAAAATGGTACAATGCAATAGAGGGGGGGTTGCGGCTTTTATTAGAGCATCTACACGCATAACGAAATGGTGAATTTGTGGCTCTCAATTGTTCAAAAAGAATGGGTGAGAATTCCATTAGAGATGAGACTTCTAATACAGATTTTACAGTAATCTTCCTACCTTGTACACACAAGTATCCAATTAAAAAATTTTATAATTCACTTAGACAAACATGGGAAAAAAAAAAATCATACACTACTTGAAGAATTATTGTCACAATACAGCATTAATATTGACTATTGATAAAGCTAATACTTTGATAAATGCCACATTTGTATATTAATTTATGCAGTTGTGAACGCCTAGACTAACATTGATGTGTCAGCCTGGCTGCCTTAGATACTGCAACGACTTTACATATAGCCCCTTAACTCAAGCAGCAAAAGTCTGAGCGACTATTAAGTCACTGAGGTAAACTAGCATGTTCATAACTCACCAAATCCACCACCGCCACCTCTGCCGCCAAATCCACGACCTCCTCCTCTGCCGCCGCCAAATCCACGACCGCCTCCTCGGCCGCCGCCGAATCCTCGGCCACCACCTCTACCACCGCCAAATCCTCGGCCTGCAAAGTAAAAGTTTTAAAAGTGATTATGAACTAAATATAAAATTAGATATACAGGAAGATAATTTTAATGGATTTCAAAGAACAAAATCTATAAATCAATATTTGATTTGATCTAGAACACTGCACACTACTTAAATCATCTAAATTGAGAAGCATTTCAAATTGACCTACCTCCACCGCCACCAGGACTGAATGAACGCCTATCTTCGGCAAAGTCGAGAATAACACAGCGACCATCAATATCTTCATTTTGATGAGAATTCAAAGCTTTCTGTGCAGCCTCCGTGCTCTCAAAGTCAACATACCCAATTCTGAAATACAAATATTACATTCAACAATTTTTGATTCAAAAGCAAATGCCCAAAAGCTTGAGTGAGATGAAGTTCTCAGACAAATGCCTCGATTGACATCAGGAATATAGTGTTCTAATGGATATGGAGAACACTAATCAGGCTCGTCATCGACTCATCACTGAACATCAATATTATTAATCATGAAATCATACTTCCAGTGTACATGACATTGCAACAGCAACACAATGCTATACAAGTTCACATGCATGCCTTCGTGATGCATCATGGGAAGAGACCATCCTCTTACATGCACAAGGGTGTTCATAAAAAAAAAAATGCAATTTAGCAAAATCAGTTAGCATGGACTCACCCTTTGGGTCTACCAGACTCCCTATCTGTGGGTATTCTGGCATCTACACCCCCTAGTGTATCCAATAATGTGTCTACAGTAGTGTCATAGTTCAAACCTTTTACAAATATGGTCTTTGATGGTCCTGCAATATGAATACAAAGGATTGTTAAACAAAGAGGCAATGAGTTTGAATCAATGCTCTGCTCGACAACTGTAGAATACTTTATTTTCGCTGAAGGGATGATTGCGTGAAAATAAAATCCAACGAATATACTTTTTTCCCTATATTTCACATTAAACTCATGAAAAATCTGTGAAAATAAATTCCAAGCAAAACACCCAAAAAGCCTTTTCAGCGAAAATTAATTCCAACGAAAATAAAGTATTCCACAGTATTTTAAAGCAGAGGATACAGCGGCCCTGCTTTAAGATGCAGCTTCGCAGGTGAAAATATTTGATAAACTCTCAAAACATTAGAAATCTGGCAGACCTTGCAAAACCAATCTGAAGTTAGATGTTGTCTACAACACATTCCACATGTTCTTGTATTCCAGGCAATTTTAGCTTGGCAAGATATTTGCATGCATGCACAACTCTAAAACACTGCAAACCTGTTTAAATTCATTCAATGTTTGTGGACTGTCTAACTATATTTTTAATGTGCATAATTAACTGATGCGAGATGGAAGTGTGCATTACTTTGGTATTATTTTTAACAATTGGTTGATAATTTTGATAAAGTTTCAGAAGTAGCTATTTTTCTAGGTTTTTTCGTACATTTTAACACTGGCTTGAAATGATAAATGAATTTTGTATACTGTAAAAATGACTAATTTTCACTGGGTTTAAATTTTGCTGATTTACTATTTCAGGCATATTCACTGGGTTTTAATTTAGCACATTTTGCAGTCAGCGAAATTTAAACCCAATGAACAATTATTCCTTTTATAGTAATTGTAAATCACATACCTGAGCTTCTCCTTCCTCTACCACCATCTCTACCACCACGGCGGTCACCACCACCACCGCCGCCACGGTTTCGCTGGCTTTTCTTTCCAATGAAATCTAATATCAGTTCCCTTCCCTCAAGTTCCATTCCTTGATTTTCTTTAAGGGCAGCATCAACTGAAGCCTCATCACTGAACTCCACAAAACCAAAACTGTGAAAGGATTTAGTCAAAAAATGAGCAACACAGTTCAACTAAATCTTTTCCACACAACAAGTAAAAATATTTTTTGATATTAGCTAATTTAACCCCTACTTTCAAAACAAATTCCAAGTGAAAAGTATTTACTATACTTTGACCAGTAGAAAATTGGTAATATAATTTAAAAAGGCAAGAAGAAAAGATGAACCTTACAGTGAAGATGTTAAACACAAATAACAATGACACGAAGTTCTCAGACAAATGCCTCGATTGACATCAGGAATATAGTGTTCTAATGGATATGGAGAACGCTAATCAGGCTCGTCATCAACTCATCACCGAACTTCAGAATTGTGAGGTTGAAAAAGTTTACACATTCAGCACATTGCTACAAAAATTTCTAGAAGTTAGCTCCATGCCTCTTCATTGACTCAATATACCATGGTTTAAATGCCATTTTAAATATTGCAAGTAAATTATGAGCATTGCCATGTGCATGCTGGTGTTGCACACATCTTTGAAAATAATTATTTTGGTTGATTTAGTTTTTAAAACTTACCCTCTGGAATTGCCATCAGGATCAGATGCAATTCTAGCAGACGTGCAGCCTTCGAAAGCACCCTCTAGCGTTTCAACTGTGGTTTCATAATTAAGCCCTTTGACGAAAAGAGTTTTAGCATCACGTTGCTCTGAAATAGAAAGCAGCAATTAGGGATTTGCACAAAAAGTTTGTACGTAATTGAGCAAGTTTATAGCACTGCACACTGGTACCTAAATTGTGAGACTGTTTTAAAACAGCCGAGAACAGACTAGCCTTTCTGGATGTGTAGTTATTGCACCACAGGATGAGGTCTCCAACAACTTTATCATAAATTTCTCACCTGAAGAATGTAAGATGTGCAGGCAATGACACTATCCTTAGACAGCCGTTTGCACTATTGCTAGGACATAGAAATAAATGATCAGTGCTTCCAGACTGGATTTTATCTCAAGTTTTCCCAGGCTAGGACGAAAACTAAGTTGCGCTATTATCTCGCTGAATATAAACTGCTCAATTTCGAGAATTTGGCAGTGTAAATGCTTTCAAAAAATCTTGCAGAACTAGATCTGCAATTTTGTTGCACTTTTCCACAACAAAGGCATTGAAAATATTGACTTGCCTCGTTCAGGATTAACGTTATTATCTCTATCCTTTTTAGATACAGCCTTTTCCAATCTAATTTGACTACCATCCAGGTGGGTCTGGTTGAACTGCATCGCTTTGGTAAACTGGTCTTCATCAGGGAGATCAATGTAACCAAATCTGGGGAAAATTAATCTTAATTAGGTTTGTTGATCAGGGGGATTCTCCCCCAAGATCTACCACATACATCATTATACAGCTTCTTATATTAAATTAATGAGACCGGTTGATCTTCTTTGTATACAACTACCGTAAATGCAATAGATATTATGGATGTTTTGCAGGTACTACCAATCAGATTTATGCATTTTACAGAGATCAAGTACAAAGCCGTTCAGATGAATTGCACACAGCTTTCTACGAGAGGTACATTTACATTGAGTTTGTGAAACCGTGCAATTTGAACATTGCAGAAAAATAGATTTGTTTTCACTATAAAATCTTAATTTGACGATCAAAAGGAATTTTTAAAACTGGACAACCTATACCTTCTGTTTGAAACTACTCTGGCACCGGCAATTTCAACTCCTCCCGATCGAAAGTGTTCTGCAAGGTCTTCTTCAGTCGTATCTCGGCTAAGGTTTCCGACAAAGACGCTGATCAATTCTAAAGTAAAGAAAGGATGAAATCGGTGAGACCAAAGTGCTGATGCATTGTGAATTTTAGCTCAGTGCAGTGAATCTCCCCACCTCTGATGGTAGACCTGTTAATTTCCTTCATTTAAGTTTTGTAAGTAGTAGTGCACAATTGCGGTATGCACCTTAAAAAGAGTTGTAGGATACTGTAAAACGCATTGAAATAGCTAAATGCCATTCCAGCAAATTCAACTCAATGCAAGAATTAACAACCTTAATTTAGATTACCATAAGTGCCAACAATCAACATTCTGAAAGTAATTTTAATTAGCAAAATCGAATTACCCACATGTTTTACAGTATCACAATAGCAGAACCATACTGCTAAGAAAAATATCTTGTGTCATGTGCCGTCATCAGCATGGTTTTGCCATTTCAACAATAAAGAATGCAGTAAAGATAAGGGAAGAAAGTTAATTAAAAATATCTGCAGACTGCCGTTACCTAAACCATATCTGAAAGATTAGAGAAATAAAAAGGACAGGGCACATGCTGAACACTACAGTACCAAACCAAATGCAACTTTCTTACCACCAGTGGGTTTAGCCGGTTTTGTGTCTGCTTCGGTTTCTTGTTTCCTCTTCTTGGCTTTTTTCCCTTTCTTACCTGCAAGGCCAATTACTGATAACTGAACACTGAACTAATAGGTGGTTTCACAGCTTTAGTCTCAAATTTTGCAAATCTTTTCAAGCCCTCATGAAGTGTACCAAAAGACTCAATGAGCAAACTGAGAAGCCGATAGGCCAAGGCAACACTAACAATTTAACAGTTAAAGTGGTGGGATCATCACAAAAACAATGAGTGATGAAAACATGCTAAAAAAAACACTAAGGTTCAGGGGTAGACATTTGTAATCAACGAGGCATGTGACAACTCCTTTTGCTTTAAAGTTGATTGCCACTTTTCAAATCTGCGAAAACCTGCCTTTCTTTTATACCCAACTTTGTACACGCGATATTTTTTGGAAACATTTGATAAGCAAATAAGGGAATTTGTAGCCCTTAGAATCTGCTTTGATACATTTGATACTGTCAGCACATAACAGAAGTATTGCATCCCAAGGAATCAATTACTTGGAGGGGGGGAGGGTGATGTTCCTTTGATATCAAAGACTAAAAAAATTGCGCGATTACGTACCATCATCACTTTTTGATTTCTTGGCAGCAACTGGAGCTTCCTCTTGCTGTTTTCGTTTCTTTGATTTCTCTGCAAAGAGAACGTCAAGTGATTATTGCTTGGATACAACCTGAAGCTTCTACCCCAAACATACATGCATATCAGCAACATCATCTAGCTGTGCATGCAACTTTGTAATTCAAAGCTATACTTTGTAAGTATGCTGATTTTAAATTATTATAAGATTATGCCGAGTCTTTCACATACAAGAGAATTTAAAAACCTACTTAATATCCCTTTTAAATCTATGACTAATCAGTATTCTGTATTTGTGCAGTTACTACGTGCAATTTAACGCCTCAAGCGAGTCGCAGATGTAATGAATGCTAACACTGATATAATTTAACTCACTTTTGTCATCCCCAGATGATTCGTCTTCATCGTCTGAATCGGATTCTTCACTTCCAGCAGCATTATTTGTGTTATTTGCAGCAGCTGAACGAATAAAAAAACAAATTACTATTTTAAACAAGCCAATAACATCTGGTAGTAACTAGTCTGATTGAAACCTGAAAGCACTTTTTATTCAACTCTTCAATGAATTTAATCAGATGCTTAGCACATCTTAGTCGCAAAACCAGCAATAAAATAAAGCCAACAAATTTGCATGTGATAATTGAATCTCATGAAATGCTGTCAACTCATCTCAGGGCTCAGTAATCAATTTAAGATACAAGGAAAGTTCTGTAATGTTACCACCCCCCCCCACCGAGATATGGACAGTTTGGTTCCATTGCTTAGCAGTGCTAGAGTAACATAAAGTAGTAATTCCAATTCTCTTTTGCTGCATTACCAGTGTTTTTAACAGGCATGTATGAACCTGCTTTAATGTTACAGAATGCAATTCAATTTTATACGCACTTGTAATGAAAAAAAGTAATGCGCTTCAATTTCACACCAGTCTCGACATCCAAGTCGAATTACATTTAGAACAAGCACAAGTTCAGGAGTGATTTTAACATGGCAATAGAATTTTGGTAACAAAAGAAATGTATGCAAGACAAACAGACACAATCTACAAAGTTGTTAATTCTAAGCAAGCAAACCAGCAAAGAAAAGAATGAGAAGCAACAAAAGGAAAACCAAGCATTTTTGAACATTCTACCTTTTGCTTTTAAAGGTACTTCCTCCTCAGATTCAGACTCTGAATCAGAATCTGACTCTGAATTCTCCGATGATGAATCTTCTGAATCACTTTCAGCCTTATTGGTAACCTTGACAATTTTACCTTTTGGCTGATCCTCCTCTTCAGAGGAATCGTCATCTTCACTCTCGGACTCTTTTGTGGCACCTTTTTTTGTTTCTTTGGCTTTCTTAACCGCTTTAGGCTGCGTTTTGGGTTTAGGTTTCTCTTCTTCCGACTCGTCTGAGGAATCATCTTCGCTTTCCGACTCCTCTTTCGGAGGAGGGGCAGCTTTCTTCGATTTACTGGCTTTCTTAGCTGGCTTTGATTTCGGTTTCACCTCCTCTTCCGAAGATTCATCACTGTCAGCAACTGGTGCCACATTTGTTTCCATCTCTTCATCACTGCTATCATCACTGTCCTTGGCTACAACCTGCATTGATAGACAAGGACATCAACAAATTTGCCTTCATCATAAACACTTGTATTTGCAGAAAATGATATTTCCTAACAAGAACCATGCAGTAACGGGGGAACTCAAATTAATGTACATTTGCATTTGTTTAACTGAACTGTCACTTTGCTGTTAGGAATTAGCTATAAAAATAGGGCAATGATAATAGATCAGACACCTAAGAAGTTAGCAAAGGCACACATCTGTATTACTGCATTTTTAGTATTACCAAGGTAGTAAAATTATTTCTCTCCAACAAACCAAGAAAATCAAAATAGATTATCCATAGAACACAATTAACAATCCGTACCTTAGGAGGTGGTTTCTTCCCCTTTTTACCCTTTGCTTTCTCAGGCCTACAAAGAAAAAAATTCATCAAAATATGCAGATACAAGATACATCACAAAGTTTCTGCATGCTCAAGAAATTAACCACAATCTGCACTCAACACTTCATGTAGTTGCGATCAGCAACCAAACATCGAATAGCACGACAGTTAACGATGGGTGCCAAACTTTATGTAGACTTGTTAAGAGGTACTTGTGTTCCCTTAGAAATTTTTCATAGAGTCGCGGCTAATTTGCATAAATTAATATATTGTTTGCAGGGATCTCGCCAGCCCAACATGAGTGCCGGTCGGTCATGAATATTAATGAGCTAAATGAATATTAATTAGCAATGAATATTAATGAGTTTGGTCGCAGCAAATATTTTTATTATGTTTCACAATTTAGAAGAGTTTGAATTTAAAAAATTAAATGTATTCGAAATGCAAATGCTGCAGACTAAAAAACAAACAAACAAATTATTGTTGCAATATTAATGTTTAGTGTAAAAAGTTAAATAAAACGCATTTGAAACGTTTTAGCGAGGAATATTTTCACAATCTTATTTACTCTAAATACATTCTCCTTCAAAAAAATCGACCACGTAATTATTTGGAGTATTGTTTTAATTTATTATTCGTATCATCAATTTCTAAAACTTATATATTCACAGTAATGAACTAACAAATAAAACTTCCGAACTTTCAACGTTGCGACGTGACACAACTTACTTAGCGATGTTATACACTGATTATACCAACAATTCCTCTTAGTCATGATGCCAAGCAAAAAATGTTACTTCGTTTTTTTGATAAGAAATAAATGTAAAATTTGACTTAATTTTATCGGGAGTGGATATTTTTGATCACTCGATCGCTTCGGTAAAAAACATAGCCCGCCATGATGTTTGTGACGT